GTTGTTGTTTTCTGTTTGTTTGTTTTGTTTTTTGCTTTGGTTTTTCTGTTTCTTTTGTAAATGTTGCTTCATCTCATCCACAATTGTACAGTTTGTTCAGCCAGGCTCCCTTTGGCATGATTGACAGTGCCTCCACTGTCAGATGTGGAGAAAACTAAGCTAATGGGCAATGGGATCACAACATGGACCAAAGGACTCCAGTTGGGACCCTCATTGTATGGAAATGCTTTTCCACGGCAGCTGCTAGCGACTGGTGAAATTACATAGAATCCAACTAACTGTTGTGTTCAGAAAAGAAGCATATCCCACTCTAAAGATTCAGAAAGAAGAGGGTTAGTACATGGCAAACTGTGAAATCATGTGACATCAGTCATTTATTGTGTGACAATTGAGCCTTAAGAGAAGTTTCCACTGAATTATATGCTCATCTGAAGAAAGGACAAGAGGCCACTGATGGGAGATCGTATTATCCATATTCCCCTTTATAAGGAAAAATGTCAGGGATTTGATCAACTAAAGGTCCCAGTACATGTTCCCTTAACATTAAGCTCAAGGCTGGCCTTCCCTCATCCAAAGCTGACTGACTGACCTGTGAGTGGACAGATAGGATAATGATGGAGCCATGTGATAACCTAGGTAGACGACAATAATGATGGCAACATGATCATGAAGTAACAGTAACTGGGGAAATATCAGAATGAGGACGAAAAGGACTGCCATGCTTTTTACTGTGTGTGTAGTTTGAGATCCTGGTCACCTACCAACCTGCTCCAGGTCTGATATTGAATGGCTAAGACTTTTTTTCTCTTCTGCCTAAACTGGTGTGTTCCTTTCATGCTATCTCAGACTGACACTATGTTGCTCTTTCACTCTGCCTCTCTTGGTTTTATATTGAGCTGCGGACATGAATAAATGGCTTTTATATCGGAGAATTGGTTGGATATCTAAAATAAGCTTGTAGTTAATTATCTGCAATGTCATTCTTACTTTCTTTATACTTTCATTTAAAAATGCCTTATAACTTTTCTCTTCTTCTCAGTGAGTATATAAAAAGTTGACTTGGGAGCATAGGCCAAATATTTAGTTCTCATTCTCGACTTTTCTGTATTTGTCCAGGTCTATATTGGACACTATATTGAAGCCACCTTTACAATAGACATCACCATTTTTGCTGATATTCAGCTCTTCCTATTATGTAAGAACTTTATTTATCATTCCTTAGCTATCGGATACCTTTCACTGAGATAAAACATGAGGCAAAGTTACATGCAGAATTTCTTTGTTTATGTATTTTGTATGTTGAGGTGACATTTCTGTCAGCCTAGGTTCCTGGTGAATCCAGTGTCCTCTGACACTCAAGAAATGCAAATAATGTGAACAACAAATAAACATTCCCACTTTATAACACTAACATTGGGGGGTGTTTTTAATTGTGGAATAAGCTAGGCAACTCACTAAAAACAACTTTCAAAATCTTTAACATGTTGAAGCCCATCCTTGTTACTTCCTTTTATCCTATCACTGCCATTCAAAACTCCTCGTGTTTTATCTGAATTTGCTGCAAGGGTCTCTTGGTTGGCCTCCCTACCCATACTTCTCTGATATTTCTAAAGGACAGTTTCCAAAAAGCAGTAACATTTACTGCTTACAGGTCATGTTCCTTCCTTACCCCAAACTCTGCAGGAATACTAAACTAGAAGTATGGTAAAGCCTCTCTGTCAACCACGGTGCCTATTATTCAACTTCTACCAGTCTCCAAATTTGTCTCTTGCCTTTCTTCCATCAACAATCATCATACCCCTTACCCCCTTGGCAGCAACTCTCTCTTGCCTTGCTCTGCTTTTGTCTTCTTGTTCCCTCCTTGTGGAATGTTTTACCTCAAGAGTTCTGTGTAGCTTAGATCATTCTTTCTCATTATAAAAATCTTTCTGCCAAGATTCTAGCCTCAGAACAGTCTTGGTGGCTTCTGAAAGCACATCACCTCATAACCCATTATGCAGTTATGAAGCTTGACTGTGTAAAGAATTCTTTGGGCTGTCTTCTTACTTTATTTACTCAATTTGTTTCTCTCTTCACAGACTATGAATATCAAAGGACAGGGATTATTTGTTTTAGTGCTTTGTCCCTGGAAGAAATGTGCATGTTGCTTTAGTGGATTTCAGTAAATATTTATCAAGTGAATGAATTAGTGAAACACTCACTGAAACAATCAAGATGTCAAAACAACACTGCAACAAAAGACAAGTGAATCAGAAGCAATGTTCATTCACAGATCTTTAACCTAGTTTGTTTGGTTAAGCAGAGCAAACAAATCAAAATAGTATTAAATAAGCACTTTGCATAGCATTTATCTATCATCACTTATAATTTATTTTCTAAATACTTATTTATTTTACACTCCTACTGCAGTTTCTCCACCCTCCTCTCCTTCCAGTTCCTTTCCACCACCTCCCCTCTAGAAATGTCCCACCCCCATCCACTTCTCCTTCCTATTGGTGGGGGGGGAGGGCAGGCCTCCCATGGATATCAACAAAACATGGCTTATCAAGCTGAAGTAAGACTAAGCTCCTTGCCTTTTATTAAGTCTGAGCAACATTGACCAGTATGAAGAATATGGTTCCAAAAGCCAGCAAAGAAGTCAGAAACAACAGCCCTTGCTGCCATTGTTAGGAGTACCATAAGAAGACCAAGCTACACAACTGTCACATATATGCAGAGGTCTACTTATAATTTTTTATACAGTAAAATCTAATGTATCCAAATTAATTAGCTGACATTTTTTAGTTTATATTTAAACAAAGAAGTCTTAAAAGTTAACCAGCACAAGATATATTTAATCGTGCCATGACTAATGTGTTAAACAATCAAAATGTCCTAAATGTTCTACAATGTCTAAAATGTATACAAGAATAGGGTATGAAATCAAAAGGCAGACATTTGTGAGATAATCTTTTTATACATTGTAGAGATGTGTCTCTGCCAAAGGTGCTTTCTGACTGGCTTAATAAAAAGCTGAATGGCCAATAGCTAGGCAGGCAAGAATAGGAAGAGCTTCTGGGAAGAGAGAGAGAAACTCTGAGAAGAGGGGCTGAAAGACACCAATGAAACATGGAACAAATTCAACATACAGAATGGGATAGAGGTAAAAGCCACATGGCAGAATGTAGATCAATAAAAACAGGTTAATTTGAGTTATAAGAGCTAGTTGAGAACAATACTAAGCTAAGGCCAAGTTTTCACAATGAATAAGATTTCTCTGTGTCATTATTTGTAGGCTGGTGGGTTAAGAAAGTCTGACTACAATAGGCTCAAAGAGAGACTAGGCAAGAGAAGTCAATAGGAGACACTAAAAAATTATTTTTAGAAAATAACTCTTTAAACAGTCTAGCTTGGATTAATATGTCACTATAATTTGTCAATGAACTGTATACATCAGTAGTATGTTTTTCTCTTCATCATCAGGTTCTCAATGGGAGGTGTTTATGGCACTTGTAACCATAGGTCAAGATGACAAATCTGAATTTCTTCAGTTTCTATATTCTAGAGTGATCATTCAACAGAAAGGAAAGTAACAGGGCATGTTATTTTTTTTTCTGCAAATTAAAAGGCATCATTGTAAGGAACATTTTCTATGACAAAGACATATGTAGACGATAAGTGAGTTCAAAGGAACGCAACTTCTTTCTCTGGCTTCAATGATATTGAAGTAAGGAATGGCTGTAAGACCTGAGGTGAGAGACTGATCCCTGTGACTTCCGACACTTGAGTATCTTATCTAACTTTTTGTTGCTAGAAAAGGGAGATCATGGCAGTAACTATCCCAAATGCCCCCAAAAGATTGTTGTAGAGATAAGACATGTTTATGAGTTGAATGTATTATTCTCTTGTTTTACTTTCCCTTGTTGAGGCAAGTATCATCAAAATTGATGTCATAGTCCACACACATTTCATATTTGTAGAGACGGAGGAACAGACTGCAGACTGTACATATCTGGCCATATGATTTTTACATCAACTAGAGGTTAAGGATATTTTTATCTGGCTATGGAATGTTGAAATTGCAGTAAATGGAAGATGACACCGCTGTTTCATTACACACGCAGAAGAACAAAGCTGGTTCTCAATAGGAAACGTTCACAGTCCATTTCCATACTCACCCATTTCCAAATAGTCTGTCTCCTTCCCAGAGAGAAAGCTAAATTCATAATCATGATTGAAAGCAAAAATTAATAATTTAATTGCTATCTAATGAGGAAAATCATAACATCAGAGGAAAGCACACAAGGCCTCGCCTGAAACCCCTTTGCTGCTTTGAGAGTGAATGGACAAACTCCTGGAGTGTACGACTTCCTCTTTCAGTTGTATCGTTACTTTATTTAAATGAGTAATTCTTGTGCTTATCACTCAGCATGTACCAGCATAGTCCATAGACTTTACTAAATGAGTAGAAATGGAGATGAGATGAAAGCATTTAATTTCACATTAAAAAAAGAAAAAAACAATCCTGGACATAGCATCCTAGTTAACAATGATGTACTCCTATTGCAGCCCCAAACCTAGAAGTTATATCAGGAAAAGGCCTAGTTATAAGTAAAGATGAAGCCTGTTAACAGACATTGGTTTATGGCACAGTCCCCTGACAACAAAGACAAAGCAGATTGTCTAAAGAAAACGGTACAGGAAGAATGCAGAATCATCAGGAAATCCATTCCAGACTCCTGCTCACACACACCATACTGCCTGGAAGACGCAAAGAGAAGAAGAAGGCACAAGGAATCTGCACTCCCAGCTCATCTTCTCCACCAAACCTGTCGTTACATCTACCTCAGCCAAATGGTTAGGTGAAAATATTTAATCCTATGTAACCCAAAATGAAGAAAAGTTGGATATCAATGACATAAGGACCAGGTCTGGTTGATACTGATGAGGCTTACCCACTGGCGTTTTAACATAGTATCAAATCACATTGCCGGGAATCTTTCTTATGTTGGTTCTCTTACCTCCTGGTGATTCTTGGCCAGCCATTCCTTGATCGTATCTAGGGCAATGACTGCAGCAGGCTCATTTGGAAAACCTAAATGAAGAGCATAAGGAAACCAATAAATAAAACAAGGAAGGGATACAGAAGTCATCCAAGGCTTAAGAATGTGTTGATCTTATTTTACATAGTGTTCCATTCAATAGGCAAGTAAAATAAGGCCGTTGGTGAAAAATTTTCCATGAATATAGAATCTTCGATCAATAACATGGTATAAGACTAGCTCTGTACCAGTTCCAAAAAAAGAAGGATTTAATAAAGATATCAACAGCATTCATATATACTTAATAGCTTATAATGTACTTTATTCTTCTCAATAGTGCTCAGTTTACTCTTTGCCTCAGTTTTTTTTTGTCATTGAAAATAGACTTTTTTTTTAACAACTTTTTACAATGTATACTAATTACATTCCCCCACTCCGAGATCCACGCCACTCACCCTATTCCACATCCTTTCTTTCTCTCTTTCTCACATTTGAAAACAAACAGGCATCTAAAAAATGTCTAATAAAATAAGACAATGTAAACATAAACCTGAATAGAAAAAAACAAATGAAGAGAAAAACAAAGAGCCAAATTAAAAAAAAAAAAACAAACAAGAAACATAAGGACACAGAGACACACATTGGTAACCAGAGAAATCCCACAGACTACAAAACTGGACACCTTAATATATAAATGAACGACTTGTAGTATAAAGGGGAAAAAAAAAGAAAATAATGCCCAGGTGAAGCATCATGAGACAAGAAAACAAACAAACAAAAAGTAACCTCCAAAATCATTGAGTTTGTTTTGTGTTTGCTATGCCTCTTCAGTTTTAAATCCCAGTAAATGTGGCTCAGCGAAAACATGTGGTTGATGTGGAATCATTAGCTCAATGTTCTATCAGGGAACTGCTACAAAGTAAGGAAGCTAACATGCCATAGCTATACATATGGCAGCAATCTCTTATCAGTAGTCAATGATGGTGATTCCAGCTCTCCTTGGTGATTCCAGCAGTACAGATAATGTCTGGGATGAAAATCACGTCAACTAAACTGACCTTCTGGTGTGGTTTGATTTTACCACAGCATTGGAAGTCACCGAGTTTTGTGTCATCTCAGCATGAACACACATGTTTGTAACGTCAAATGCACACCAGCATGATTGTTTAGCTATTGTGACGTGAATGTATCCCTAGACCACCAGAACTATTGCATAGTTCAACAGAAGTAGATGGTGTAACCTGCAAACTCGAATTTCTCTGATGTTGTTGAGGAGGAGACAGGAGGGACTATATATTATTGAAACGCTTTTTAAGTTCTATGCTGGTTACTTAATCACCAAGTATCATTTTCTTTCCCATTAGCTCTAGCTTTCTGGATTTCCATGGCCTTATATCTCTCATTTTTCTCTGTTTTCCATTGTTTAAATATTATCTGCAAGTTCACAATAGAGTGGTTTACTGTTTATAAAGTTTCACAATCATCACTGTCCCCAGAGTACTTTAATGATACCTAAAGATACTCTGTACCCAACAGTGCTCCTCCCAAAGCTACTGTCTTTTCTCAATCCCACCACCATCAGTTTCTCCTTCTGAACTTCCCAATGCACCTTCTTGTAGTAGAAGGCCGCTTGTTGGTTCCCAGCTGCTCAGCCCCAAACTAACAACACAGAACCTGTATTAATTAAATCCTTGCTTGGCCCATTAGCTGTAACTTCTTACTAACTAACACTTACATATTAATTTAACCCATTTCTATTAATCTGTGTATCACCACATAGCTGTGGTTTACCAGCTAAAATTCCAGCGTCTGTCTTCGGGGGCTCCATGGCTTCTCTCTGACTCCACCTCCTTTCTCCCGGCATTCTGTTTAGTTTTCCCTGCTTACCTCTATTCTTTTGCTCTTTCAGGCCAAGCCAGTTTTCCTTATTAATTAACCAATTGTATTCACAACATACAAAGGGGAATCCCACACCACCTTCTTTTGTGGCCTCTTCTGTATGACCAATTCTTCTCAGGTTCCTTTTTTTTCCTTAGATATGCCAATAAAATGCTTGTCATTCCCAAGTTCTTACATCTAACTTTCTTCCTACAGTCAACCTTAGCCAGTTTCGGCATCGACCACAACATTGTCTGTGAGATGCCTTCTATTCTTCCATTCTACCTTGTCCGGTTTCAGCATCAATTGCTAGATTGTGTGTTGGATGCCTTCTATTCAGGGTCTCTTGTGCACTTTCTGACTTGGCAAAGAAAGAGAGGTGTTGCTATGTGGAGAATTTCTCTGGTGGCAGATACACATGGCAGTGTTTATGCTGACATCTCGATCTTGGAAGCCTTCAGAGAATTGGTGGGAAAGATGAGCAACCACTTCAGTGCCCTCATTTGCAAGCATTTGTAAACAAATATTGCTTTTCTGATTAGGTTTTCTGCAGGCTTTGCTAGAAATTACGTTAGGAAGATGGGGGCTATTGACAGAGGACCAAGATCCATGTACTTTAATTTATAAAAAGTGGAAACCTCTGTAATATGAAAAATGTCACCATGTTCCGAGTACTTGTAAATCCCTGTGTAACATTTAGAGTTTATTTTCTTTAAATGAATGCTTTGTAATATAAGACTTTTAAAATTAAAATAAAAGAAGTTGCTAATTAAAAATAGTTATTCTATTAAACAAACTATCCTTGAACCAAAAATGAGTTGTTTTCTAGATACCTTTTAACAACACCATCTCCAATAAAAGCCCAACGTTTAGGGAAGGAAATAAATGAGTAACTAGGTAACCACAACACAGCAAAATGAACAGAGTAGGGTGGGAAAACACAGATGAATGGACTCGGCAGAAAATGACAGAAGTTTGGAGGATGGACACTCAAAGTAGCCATTGAAGAAACATTGTCCTAAGAACTAAACAGCCAATGTCAAGGGACTAATGGAGGAGATAGGGTAAGTAAAGTGAGATTAAAAAAAAAAAACAGGGTGAGTTCATGGGGCTTCGAAAGGGAAGTAGGCTGTAGATTTGCCACTATGGAGTTAGTCAGAGGCCTTGTTCAGTCCTCCTTTCCCTGAGTGGAGCACTAGCATCTGTAGCCATACTTTCCTCATTGTAATCCAGCACAAAACTACAACCTGTCTTCCTTATGGCTTGCTGGCTATGGCAGTGCCTTCCTCTGAGTCTAAACAGCTAAGCAGTGGCATAAGCACTTTTGTCTGTGTTACCCTTCTAGTGGCCTTGGGTGCCCCTTACAGACTTGTTTTATTTTTCTCTGCTTATTCTCTTCTCAAGAAATTCTTCTCCAACTTCAAGGTATATTTAGTAATTACTCAAAAGATAAAATTATAAGGGTACGGATATCTAATAAATACTGTCATCACACTCAATTGCAATGGCCATCTGTATTAATGCTCACGTTTAGAAGACATAATTCCCCACAGATGAAATTAGACAAGTTCTTACAGAACCATAGCAACCACGGTAAGTTCTCAATTATCCCTGACCTCTTGGTCACTCTCTCACATACATCAAAGCCTCTGGCACAGAGTTATGGTTTTCATCATGATCTCAGGGGTCTCTGCATCCCTGACTGATGTCAACACCCAAGGCTGTGACCCACCGAATACCCAGTTGTCATGTACTTGACCTGTTCATCTTCAAATTCAACGTCCTCCATTCCAGATGCCTTCTTCTTAGGTCACACACTGGACCTCGATGTAACATTTTCAATCTAAGGTTATGGAGTGAAATGCCCAAAGCCTGTTTCCTATTTAGCTTTCTCGGCTGCTTTCTTAGCCATGCCTCTTTGTAAGCATTTGATGTCTCCTCTCTACTCATGCTAGTCCCCATCAATCAGCGTCAACACTTCTGGATGCTCTGGCTCCTTTCTGCTCCTTAAGGCTCATCTCTCGTTATATTGCTACTTGTTTAAATAGAACTTTACTGGGTGCTTTTTACTGTGTTTCCTTACATGGTTATGTAATTTGTGTAAAGATAAAAGATGATAAATTATTAACAAAATCCCCATACTTTAACTAGTAGGCCAGACTATTTGGTGCTCAGATCATGATGACTTAGGATATATTCTGCATTCCTCTGTAGCATGACTTCTAAGGAGCTGTAGCCCATGTACAAATGGCCAGTCTCAAGAAAAACAACCTAGGCTATAAACTTTATTACTCGAGGTGAAAGTAAGATACCAAGCCATCTATTCAAATATTGACCCTGAGCAAATGGCCAAGAAAATAAGAAGTAAGTAACTTCCTATTCAACTACTACAAAAGACTTCCAACCCTTCTAAGTCATGATAGTCCCTCTATGAACTTGACTACTGACTTTAGATATTGTACTTCAATAATTTCTTTCTGTTTGTCTCTGTCAGTGTGTCTGTTTCTTTGTTTCTGTCTCTGTTTCCATTCATGTGTGAGTATGTATGTATGTTACATGCGCATGTATGTTACATGTCAGAGGACAACTTGCAGGAGTCACTTGTCTCCAGCATGTGGGCTTAGGAGCTTGAACTTGAATTATCAGGCTTGACTTCAAGTACCTGTACCCATTAAGTCATCGTAATGGCCCAATGACTTTTCTTTGTTTCTGTGTTTTGCTATATTCTCTTTTAGCTAGCTGCACTAGTCTCACCCACGCCGTCAGGTTGCTCACCTAAGAAGGTTAAAGAAGCTTCTGTTGAGGACAAAGGTGGACCACAATCTATAGTGGGGTAAGCGTTCACTTTCTTTGTCTTTTCTCTAACCGCTATTCCTGGCTTCTTTTTGTTTTGTTTGGTTTTCCTTAAGTCCTTAACCCATAAATGTAAACCCCTACCCCCAAGTCTGTAAAAGCATTCATTTACTTAAACTCCAGTGGCTACACTTTGGCTAAGATTTCTTTGGGTAAAATGAAGTCTCTAAGCTTTAACTCTCTGTCTTCTACCTTGCTCCCTTTCTCTGTCTTCCTGAGGAAGTAAGGAGTCTCTATTCTTTCTGTGTTTTCATTCTCTCCCAGGTTTCCTTCCTCCAGGGAAAAGGGTATGCCATGTAAATATCTTCTTTCTTGAGAGTTC